CCTCCGGAGGTGATCCGGGGACCCCCAGAACCGGAGGTTACCCTCCACTGAGGGGGGGATGGTCACCAGACGTCGTTTGTGCCTCTTGATATCTAAACACAGGCTGGAGAACCACCTCTTCAGGCGGCGCATATGCAGTAACCCGAGCGGGACCACAACATGAGCAGCCGCCATGAGACCCAGAGTCTGCATGATAGTCAAAACTGTCACTGTTGCCCCCTGTCGCAGCCTGGGAACCGCCTGAAGCAGGGACGTGCGTCTGCTCTCTGACAGGGGGGCGCGCAGCGCGCCTGCATCGAGCACCACTCCCAAATACAACGCCTGTTGGTGAGGTATGGGGGTGCTCTTCTTCCAATTGATCGCAAAGCCCGACTTGGTTAGGTGTAGGATCAATTGGGCTGTGCAAAACATTGCCGTTCCCTGGACCTGGCCATGACTATGAAGTTGTCCAGATAAAAGAAAACTCTCATGCCATGGGCGCGCAGCGGCTGGAGCGCTGTGGCCACACATTTGCTGAACGTGCGTGGGGATAGGGAGTAGCCGAACGGTAACCTGTTGTACTCGTAGGCTACACCCTGGAAGGCAAAACGCAGATACTTTCTGTGTTTTGGAGCAATTTCGACATGAAAGCAAGCGTCCTTCAGGTCAATGGCTTGCCTGTGAACCAATCGCCTGGCTGCACCAGTCCCAGCAACTGTTTTATAGTTAACATCTGGAATTTTTTGCGTGCAATGTGGAGATTCAGGCTGCGAAGATCCCCGTTAAACAATAACGTAACGTCCTAACTCTTAGCTTTTGAATGGATACAAAATAGACATTGCCATAACACGTGAGGCCGAAGGATAGTTTGGACAGATAGAGCAAATATGACCATTTGAGGTAGTTTTTGCCCCAAAACCAACTGTGGCAACTAATTAGCTTTAAGCTAGCAAAAGAGTAGACCACTCTGTTCTTATTGTCTCTATACTTTCAAAAAATATATTCATAAAGGCCCATTGAAATGCCTAAATCTACTTTGCTACTGATCAATAGGAAACAATTAAAATCTAATAAAGCGGCCCTGGATTCATTTGCTTTGCATTGCGTATATTTTGTAGTCTTTGGCTGGCTGCTAGTTTTAGTTTCATATACAAAGTTAATGGAAGGACATTGAAAAACATATAGATGTTTTTCTTCTTACTCTCAACAAAAAAGAGAACAGCTTTAAATAGGATAAAAATATAATAAATATTTTTGCAAATAGGCTACATATTAAAAATATATTGAGTAATTAGCAGCAATTATTTTGTGCTGTTCTGGGCAAAGTGGCTAGTCTGTAGGCGTTGTTAAAAAACAAATTGTATATAGAGTTTTATGCGGCTGCTGTGTTATGAGTGGGTTACAGTCCAGACTTTTTGGAGGCAGAGGGGTGAAAGATCAGTATCTTGACAGCCTGTTGTATAGCGCTGTAACCCAGTGCTGTGGAGCATTCTTGAAGGCTCTGGTATCTCCTCCCAGATGGCAGGAGACTCAGAGGGACGGTTGGGGTCACTTACAGTGCTGATGGCAGGCGGGCCACCGGTTAGCCTATCTTCCCAGCTGCAGGAACAATGCGCTGCAGGGTTTTGCTTCGTTGGAGGCGTTTTTAACGATGCCACAGTAGAATTTTGGGTGGATCAGTTGAGTACTTGACACGATAATGCAAATGGTGATCAGAGCTAGATCTAGGCACTTGACTTGTCCCTTGTCGTATCAGCGCAATAGAACCCCCGTGGAGTACGTAGCAGCCTCACTTCAACCCTCGCTCGCATCACTGTCCGGCTGCACTGTTGTCCCTGCAGCATTCAGTTACTCAGCAGCCACGGCTAATGTGCCTCTGTCTGACCTTGGGCATGTAACAGATCTCCTGGACAAGAACTTAAGACCTGGTCCTCTGCAGAAATCCAAGGACAGGACCATTAAAACAGAAAGTATGTCCTGGCACTTGGTGATTTAAATATAATTGGATTGTTAAATCTAACCAGGCATTTCAGTTTAACAGTAAGGTGTGAGGTTTCAATTTCATGTAGAACATTGACATGACAAGAGAAGTTAGTTGTGGAAGAGCGCCTGTCTGAATCAGTCTTAGTCAGATTAATTAAATAGGAGTTGACAGAAGAAGCTCTCTTCTCTTCGAGACAAAATTGAAGGTTTCCCACTCATGCTTTCTTGGGAAAAACATTCTGAAAAGTATCTTAGTCCAGCATGCATGCCCCAGACAAATAACAGAAGAACGTTCACAAACAGTGTTTTTGCTCCTGATCAGGTTTATTTGAACCAACCCAAATCTATCAATTCCACTTGTTTACAGCTAAAGGGACTCCTTAGATGTTTAAGATACATAACATTGTGGTTGAAGTCTCCTTCAACTTCTTATGGAAGCTTTCCTAAGGATTCAGTCCAGTTCAATAAGTGTTACAAGATCTACGACAGATGTCACGATTTACAGTAAAAGAAAGAAATACCAACTTTAGTTGTTTATCTCTCTGTATGTCAAACGGTGTCTCTTTACATTTTCCCTTTACACTTTTATTCACCACCTGTCTTGCTCTGTCTATCTCTGTCACAGTAGCAGCACTGGCACATAAACTCTATCGACGTTGAGTGAGCTTCAGGGAGGAACACATCTGTCATAGAAGAGGATGCCAGTACTGCAGTGTGTGAAGTAAGGACAGAAGGTATTATGTTACCAGGGAGAGCCTTTACTGCATTTTCACGACCAGCCACATGCATGCACACACACACATTGTATAAGTGTGTGTACATGTGCAGTCAATATAGCTGTTTCCATCTGTTTATAGTTTGCTCTGCACAGATTATGCCCCCTGTATTTGCTTAAAGTCATCACCCTCTTAATGCTGAGTCAGTAAACATTATTATTCTAGTATTTGCAGGAAGCAGTACCTTCCAAATACAGACATACAGAAACAAATCTCCTCAATTGGTAACATTTACTGTTACCATTTAAAATCTGAAAATGTGTCATCTTCAGTATCTGCATTTTTAAAGTAACACCGATCAATCTTCATCATACAGTCTTGTGCTATATAAATAAAACTTGATTTGATTTGATTGCTTGTTTCTTTTTAGACATCATCGCAACTTGACGTTTGCTACCTTTTAACTTTCAACCACATTCCATGATCATCACAGGATGTTCTGGCTTTTTGGTCAAAAGAGCTGTAATGATTATTTTATTATTGAGCAACTACTTTGATAAGCGAGTTTTGTTTAATATTTTTTCATCAAAAGATTTGCTGATTTTCTTGGTTTAAAATGATTAGACACATTATTTTTGTCTGGAGGGAATATATTAATCATTAGACGAAATCCCCTTGGGCTCTTGGAATTTGTCTGCCCCATTCTCAAGCATTTTTTACATTTTCTAGACAGAATTATTACATCATAACAGACAAAAGGTCAACATGGAATGTCATGCTTCAAAAACCCATTTGACATGCCAATCCTGTCAATGACGAAATGAAATGTTGATGACATTTAAGCTTATACATGAAGGGCAGTGGTAGTCCTATTGAGAGTAAGACAGAGTGAAATTCAGTTATCCTTAAAAGGTGTTGTAAAGGGCATCTAAGTTAATTAAGCTTGTTTAATGAAGAAGGAAATAACCCCAAAAGCCTCTCTTCCTCATCATACCAGGTTTTATTTAAAGATGGCGTTTATTGTGTTATTGCACGAAACACTGACAGGATGCATCAACGAAACAATATGCAGTCACCAGTTGGAGGTTTCTCTGCAGGTCGCAAGCTGAAAAGGACAGCTTGGCTTGTGACTCAAGCTGCGCTCTTTTTTTTCTCCCGACCTATCTGTCACTCCCCAGCGCCGCACACCAGGCGCTGACAGGCCGGATACAACTTTCAGCTGCATTTCATCAGCAATAGTTTCATGGGACTCATAGGAGATAGGGGTTGGGCAGTATGGCAAGATCACAAAGAAAATACTGCATACTGAATTCAACACAGCTAAGGGGCTCAAAGATAAAGCTAGTATTCATTTTACACCACCAATATTTACCATTTCATGTAAAAACCTGTTTCTACCTGAAGAGGAACATTGGGAATAAAGTGTAAAAAGCCCCCTGGGTTCTGTTATTCCACTTTAAGTCTGTGTCCATTTGTCAAATGGATCACGGCTCTATGTTGAAGATCAAGCCCCAAACCAACCATTTAGAGCAACATAACAGGCCTGTACTTGTCTTTTGATAGAATATAAACTTCAAATTGAGTTTCCTCTGATATTGCTTTTGCTTTTCACTCAAATCCTTTAATAGGACAGTCACAGCTTTTTAAAAACACTTAGTGACGAATGTAGCTTTTTCATCTTGTTAATATACACTTTTTGGAACGATGATGTTAAAACAGTCACTTTTAATTTTAGAAATAATTTCCTCACAGTGCTGGAACAAATAAAAATCCAGTCAACACGTTGGAGCTGTTACAGGCGTTAAGTTGAGGAGTTGAGGAGGCAGAGCTGCTCTCAGCGGCAGGCTGCAGCGCTGTGTGGTGCCTGAGGTGTGGTGACGTGATGCGAGCTGACAGGTGGCACCATGGGTAATGGGGCTAAAACTCCCATCATACAGCCCACTGAGGCCCCATCCTAACTCTCTGACCAAACCAGTAGTGCACATCTACTCACTCCGTGCTACCAGAGTAATCAAAGCTGCAGGATGGTCACAGTTATTAAATAGCTTTGAGGTTTGTGTTGAGTAAAATTAACTAAGAACTGAAGCCAAAGGCTGCTTGCACAAGGAAGGTATTTGACTTTTGAAAGGATTTGGATTATCTGCAGAGGCAGATGTTCCTGCTGCTGATTGTGCGACTGAGATGACTCACTCTAGATCAGAAATCACTTTTCCTGTTATGATGTGGAGGGGAACAGATGGAGGAAGTTGAAAAATACTTTTAGAGGATATATTTACAATATCATACACAAGTCCACAAATCCAAATGAATTGAACAAACGTGAATATTTCTTGCACTGATTTCTTTAATTTTTTACTTTAAAAGAAATGCACAGATCAGCAAAGCTACTACATACAAATGGCCATACAATAGCTATTACATTTTGTTCTTTTTTGAAGGTGTTCAGTTAGTTATGCTGCATTCAGCAAAAGCATCGGTCAAATCCAACCAATGCTGTTCTTCCATGTTCAAATGAAAAAGTTCAGCCACAAACTACACATCTGGACAGCTACTTGTATCTGCTCCAGGAGAATTACTGTACTTACATACAATAAAGAAGAAACAAAACTTTTGCATAGCTTCATTGTAATGTAGATACAGTACTGTAAGGCACTTCATGAAGAAATTAGGCATTTATTTTCTTAAACCCTATGTAATAAACATTTTTGCCACTTCATTCTAAAACATCATCTCAATATGCAAGGTTACAACATCTTGAAAAAAAATGCTCATATCACATTTTTGCGCACTATGTAAATCTACTGAACTCCTCCATTATTCTTTTGGCATTAAGTCTCAAGTTCAACATTTTCAGAATATTGAAGTTGGGTTCTTGTGCATAATATGACTGACACATTGTCCCATAACCCCACAAAACCCAGTGTTTCTCAAAAAGACAAAACTAAAAATTGTGCAATGATTTGGGGTTATGTGGAGTAAAAGGCAACACGCTGTCAAAGACGAGTCCCAAATTAAAATACATCTTAATTTCTGGGCGAGTGACAGGTCGTTTCCTCATGGACTGCTGCCGCACCAACAAAGGTACACCAAAGACGAGCGGGAGACATTTCTCTTATTAGATAAAAAAGTAGCTTTGTCTCTCCTCAAGCCAGTCTGAAGCGTTGGCGGGATGACTGTGTGTTGTTGTAGTGCAGTAACTGTATGCAGGACTACATGTTCCAGCAGCCCACATTATTTGAATAGAGGTAAAGAGGATGCATCTGCTCTATCCAAGCTGATCTTCGTACTGCTTGCGGAAGCAGTCTCCGGCTGGGAAGAAATCCCAGCAGCGCTCCTGGTACATCTTCCACACATAAGACTCCTTCAGTCAGACACATACAAAGACAATTATAACTCAAAATTAAGTGACAATAGACACTTAACTTGCTTCAATTTAATATCCTAGTACATGTTGATTGCGGTGTTGCTAGTTTGCGTATTGGAGGCGTTATCATGCATAAGGATTAGTGGTTGAGTTAATGCCAAGTACTTTTGACGAAGGAATTCCAACTGCCATTGTAAATAGGTCAATATGGCATCAATAATAAGAGTTAACAAACAACAAAACATCAGTGGCTTTTTCCTTGTTATTATGCCTTCGCGCCAGACTTCTGTGTGCAGATGTTGGTAGTTTTTTAATGATAAAAAACAAAGCATTTAAGATAGGTACAGAAGTTTTCAGGTAGCTATGGAGTTGTCGGGTATAAGTGTCAGTGTGCAGAAATATTTTAAATGTTTTTCAGCACTAAGCATTTTTACTTCCAGGATTCAAAGGTTTAAAGCAGTTTACCGAGCTTTGCCAGTCATTTGTCATAATAACCATAAATGTCTATAAATGCAATTTTACATTTTGTGAATATACTTTAATAACATTGAGACATTTCAAGTTTCTCCACAGATGCCATATTTTTATAATTGTGAGCTGAATTGAGCAAAAATGATGGTTTCTATGGAATATCTGAAACAAGCCATTGCATTATTTTATCTATTCATGTAGAAACAAGACATGATTGTGAGAATGCCTGAAATATATAATTGAATATTAAGTAGACCATAAAACAGGTCTGTAGTTTGGTTAAAATAAAACAATGACATTTTAAATTCAACAGCGATATTTATATATTTCCCCTAAAATCATTCAGCCCTAGGAAGCCAGACAGCAGCCCATTATTTGTGACAGTGACAGGATAAACATCAGGGTGATTTCCTCCTCAGAGAAATGTCATTAGTGACGAGTCGTACTGTACCTGGCCAGTGTGCTCCGTCTCGTCCTTGTTGATGAGGTACATCAGGAAGAACCTTTAGAGAAAGACGATGACACAAAACTAAAATGTCAGACCAAAAAAAAGACAAGCTTTCTCCTAACTAAATACCTCCAACACCGCATTAATGGAAAATGTCACTTTTTGTGTTACCAGGAAACAATTTCATGACGCAAGTGTCAAACAAAGTAACAGCACCCCATCTCCATCAGCCTATCGCCTGTTGTTTCCTAAATCAAGTGTAAATGGCAGCGGGCTGCTGTATCTCTGCGGGCATCGCAGCCTGCCAAATCCTGATGAATACTGTATGAGGGCACGCCATCACAAACCTATTTTTCAATAAAGTTCATGGCATTAAATAGTAATGAAGCAACATAATGAGGTCGCTGTTGTGTGCTCTGGCCAGCTGCCTCTGAGCACAAATGGACTGAGACTTTTCTATTGTCACAGGAACACTGGCTGAGCGGGGGGGAAACACAGAGGCAGATGGAAAGAATACCTGAAGGGATCTAATGTTCTGCATTACTGCGGCTATTAGTAGCCATGACGCTGTAGTAACGTGCTAAAGCCATCATTCATGGGGTTCAATTACGGAGAAGAAGCACTACACGTAAGTGAGAGACAATTGTTTACCACATTTGAAATAGCAAGTAAAATATATAAAATGCCTGGAAGGGGAATACTTACAGGTAGTTGGCCAAATTGTGCTCTTGTAAGGTGTGAGTCTCAAAGCCGTGAGGTGTTGTGTCGAAGTAGTCGTTGCCGATCCCACAGATGAAGCATTTGGTCTGAGGACAGAACATCAAAAGATAATTACAACACCTGCTCTCTTTTCAGCATTTTGCATTATTATTGAAGAGGAACTTTACTCATTTTACTTGCAATTCTAGAACTACGGAGCTCGCAAACAGTTGTCTAAAGTCTTCTGAAGTGTGAAGAGATAATAATAATAATGGCTTCAGAGTTATCCTGGCTAACTTCATTCAGTCATACTTTAAACAAAAACAGTCACTGCAACCTTTTGAGGACCAAAAGTGTGCTCTGACCTTCTGCTGACTGACTGCTGTTGACTGAAGAGAGATGGAGAGCTCAAAAAAAGAAGTAGGCCTCATGTCTAAGCTCAACATATCCTGAATGGGAAAGGAATTTCTAACGGACAGTGTTTAAGTTAAGGACTCACTTCCTGTTATGTACCAGATTTAATGTGATATCATGACAATTTAAGGAAAAAGTACAAATGATAAAGATGTATTCCTTCCTTGTCTTGTCATGAGAAGTGGTTAAGGTCATTTACAACTGAAAGAGGATGTATTTGTTCGGCTGTGTTCTTTTGTAGATTCACCGTCATACAGTAAACAAAGTCACGACAGCCATTTTCACAGATGCACTACAACCCTGAAATGATCTACAAATAATAATCTATAACATTAGTTGAGCCTAAATATGATAATTTGAATGTCTAATTGGAAATCGAATTGACTTCACTTAGCCAGCTTCACATAAAGTCTGTGTAATGTTCAAAACCAAATAAAACATTCAAGGGTGAAGAGGAAGGGTCAAATACACAAAAAAGTCTAACTAGAGAGATGCCGTGATTCAGGATTACAAAACTAGTATTCCTGGTAAGCAAAAACACTTCTGACACGGACAATGTCCTGTTGTGTGAGACATGGTTAAAGGAAAACTAAAGACATTGTCCAGAGCTCATATGAAAAAAATTGCTTAAATCATAATGTTCCTTGAGAGGACAACCCACACCTGCTCCCCCTGACCCCCCTTCAGCAGTATGAGTTAGAATGAAATCTCCCCTCACCTCCATGTCCTCTTTCACTTGTTCCTGCTGGTCTCTCAGCTCTCCAAAGGCATCGATGATCAAACCTGCAACCACAAAGCCCATCATAAATACTGTATCAGCGGAAAACAATGCAATCACAAAATGTAACCCTTCACTTCCTTGAAAAAGAGTAATAGTATGTTTTAGAGGGATTTTTTGTTCGGTAGAAAGACACACACAAATATAAATACTTAAAAGTGTGAGTGAGCGCTGAAGCTCACCCTGGATGATGGCCAGGAGGATGACGATGACGAAGAAGAAGAAAGTTATGTCAAACAGGATGCGGTAGAGCTCATAGGGGTCACCAGCGGGGTCCTCGATCTCATCCCCGATGCCCCCCCCGGCTCTCACACCGACGTACATGTGGAACAGGTAACACTGTGGGAACATGGAGGCAGGGTGACTACAGACCTCTGCAAGTCGGAATGTTTTGTTTATTATTTTAAAGGTCCCCTATTATACTGTTTTTTTCATCAATATATTATAGGTCTCAGATATATACAAAACATGTCTCTGAAGTGTTTGGCTCGAAATACCAAACAAAATTCCAGTGGGAAAGACTGAAAAACGGGACCTAGGTAAATATATTTTGGACAGACTTTTACTCGACAGTGCTAAGAACGATGAAATACTAGAGTTTATTGGCTTGAACCAAACGTATACACATTTGGTAATCGTTATTCAGTGGTGCCAGTGGGTGAAATATGACTTAGAGAGATTCGTGGTACGCGCCCGCGGAAGTGTGGGCGTCATGAAAGGGTTCGCAAAGTCTACGAGAGTACCGTTGAGAATCAAGAGTGACAGTGTCATGGTTCGCTGAGCGGCAAGTGTGCCTTATTAAGACCCTCGCGGTCTTCCTGTTTACTCGGGAGCTGGTCAGTGAGAGAAGAAGAAGAGAAACCGCAAAGTGGACGCCGGTTGTGAGTGCCGCAATATGAGGGGCTGCAGCGCGCGTTCAGCCTCAAGGGCCCGTGTGCGCGAAAGTATGGCCCGACGACCTAGGTCGAAGATGACTTCAAGCTTCATTAGGCCGCGGCTGTGGAGGAGTAGAGCGAGGGGTACAAAAGGAAAACACAACGGTATTCAATCAGAGAGACGCAAACCCACGCGACCCGATATACGATAACGATTATTACGTTACGCTCCTATTATTTTACTCGCCGAAGTGGTAGAAAAACCCCTCAAAATGGCCCCCACCAAACGTTAGGCAGGTCGGTTAGTCTGTATTCCGCGCAAGTGTGGTTCATGAAAAGGGTGTTTCCAGGACTCTTGAGAAATATCAAGAGTACTTGATTCATGTCTAGTAGCGTAAGTGTGGCCTTTAATCAAGGACCCCCCACCTAATCCGTTTACTTCGGCGACTGCAGTGAAGCCTCACCGAGGAATAAAAGTAGATTTCATTGTCTCTGTCTTAGTCGTGAAAACTTTGTCCCGACTTTTTCTCCCCTAATACCCTACGATGTTACG